GCCCCACCACTACCTTACGTTTCCTAGTCGCAGTGATGGCAGCAGACCTCCCAGCCTTGGGGGTACGATGCTATGGGGGGGCCCCGCCCCCGGGCATGCGGCTATGGGGGGGGCCGCCCCCGGGCGTGCAAGTGTCCCCACCCTCTGGCGCCCGGCGGGCAAATGGCCACGCCCCCTGGCGCCCGGCAATCTCTAATGGTTGGGGACCACTGATCTAAAGGGTCTGTAGCCACAGAGCCTCACAGCTCCCCTTGGCTCCAGTTCACTGTTTCCAGCCAAGGGGAGCTGTGGGATGTAGCATGGCCTGAGCCACCACTTCCCAATGCTCCCCTTGGCTGGAAATGGAGAATGGGAGCCAAGGGGAGCTGTGAGGCTCTGTGGCTACGGACCATTTAGGTAAATAAAGTGGCACAGGACAGCTAGAGGCTTTTCCCAAAGCGGGCCCACAGCCCACTATGAGAAATACTGCACCAGAGGGAAGTGTGTTCTCAGGTTTCACAGTGAAAGCCTTCTGTCTTCACCTAGAAAAGGAAACCTAATTAAAATACTTTTCACAGCATCAGGTTGAGAAGTGGAAGGGTAGAGAAAGTCAGTCAGTTGAGAGTCAAGGCCTTCAGATTTCAAATGCATTTAATTCCTTACTTCCCACACTGAATTGTCAAGATTATAGCAATTCAGAGAGCAAGCAGTAACTAACTCCCTGCTGGTTAGACTGGCTGGGTTACATTTCATATGGTCAAAAATATCCTCCTGACCACTCAGTATATTATGGTTTTTAAGGACTAATCTTTAGAATGCCAACGTGTTCCAGACTGCTAGCAAAACAAACACTTAGGATGACATTGTGCATGTATTTTAGACTCATATAAGTCTCTTTAATCCTAAATCATCCCAAAGCACATCATGTATGCACCGCATGGCACAATGCAGACATCTCTGGGGTGGAAGGCAGCAGTCAGCTTGTACACAGCATGCTGCACAACAGTGGAGAGAGGGGATGTTTTGGACACAGACCATAAGGCAGACTCCGGCTCAGAGGCGGATGAGAGTTTTGTGGGGCCCAGGGCCTATTGAAGCACGGGGTCCAGGGCAGCACAATTTCGCGCATGCGCCACGGCCACAGCCGACAGGTAGTGCGCGTTCGCAGAGCCTATTGAAGCGCAGGGCCCGGGGCAGCCTTCCCTCTCGCCCTGCCCTATATCCACTGCTGCTCCTGCTCTTACAAAGAGATAGCTGTGTCAATCTGTGTGGATGAGAACTCAGTTTTTAAGATCTCAACTGAAAGGCCCTATCAGAAAATTCAGTTTTCATATAGACATTCTATAGGTCTTACAAACACACAATCTCCAATGCAGGAACAGATCTATGCTGTATACATCTACTTGTATAAGGACACATATGAACACCACCACATGGTGGCATGTTTCGTTATACCACATCAGCCATAGGCATGGGATGCATGGGAGGAGGAGTAAGCCCAGCACAGGCATGTGCTATCTAGGGATACGTCTAGACTACACGCTTATTTCGACAGAGGCTTTGTCGACAGATACTGTCAAAAAAGAGCATCTAGACTACAGCCAATACTGTCGACAAAGCAAGCCACCTTTTCGAAAGAGAGTCTAGACACTCTCTTTCGAAAAAGTACAGTTTGTATGCAATAGCATCTTTTTTCAACAGAGTACTATCGAAAAAAGGCATTATTCCTTGTAGAATGAGGTTTACCACCGCTGATAAAACTGCCGCGTTCTGTCAACTTACTATTGACAAAACGCGGTGGTAGTGTAGATGTAGGTATAGTTTTGTCAACAAAAGCCCACTTTTGTCGACAAAACCTTGTAGTCTAGAAGTGAGCATCATTGCCACATTATCATCCTCTTTCTCCTCCCAAGCGAGAAAAATGGGGCTGGAAAGGTCTGTGCTATACAGTTATACTGAATACCCACACGTTTGGAAACCTTCTCTGGCAATGCAACTCCTCCTTTCACCCAGCCCAAAAGAGGCAGCCCTGACAGAGATACTTCCAGGATCTGAAGTTACTCTCCTGAGCACCTTTTATAAGGTCCTTTTAGTTGGGGTACAGCAGGGGTTTCATACTGACAGATTCTTGTCCCCCTCCTGTCCCTGTTTTATCACAGAAGGCATTGGGACAACCAAGAATTCTCAGGCCAGAATCCCTACCTTTTGGCATGCGTTTCAAGATGCTGAACACCGCACTTTGCTCAATGAGGCCTTTGGCCTTGAAGAAGTGCATGCTGGGAGGGAAGTATCCAGACTTCCTGGCCTTGGCCACTTCTGCCTCCTTGAGGCTTATTAGCTTCTTATTGACTTGCTCTTCCAACTTGCCCAGCACCAGGTTGCCACCGGTCCGGCGAGCGTTCTCCTCCTCCATCAGGAAGTCCCGCAAAGGGATGGAAAGGCAAAGAGAAACCAGACTTAGGACAAGCAATACCTGCCAATCAGCCTTAGGCTTCATGTCATGGACACACCTGGAAAAAAAAATCAGGACTGTAAATGCAAATCAAAAAGTGACATCTCAAAGATGGTGCATTGGATCTTTCAGAAATAAATGGCAGGATGTGTACTAGACCACCCTGGTGAAGGCCCTTGCAGAAGTGGTAGAAGATTCTGAGATGATTCAGGAGAAAGATTTGACACTCAAAGAATCAGTCTAGTTATCAATTGAATGCATTTCAGGACATTCACGTAGGTAGTAAGCTCCTATGAGGATATGGTCTAACACTGTTGGTTAGGCTGACAGTACCACACACTGTCCAACTTGCTCAGTGCTATGAGAAGGAGTCTGTGCCAAAGGACTGACCCAAAAAGCTGAGGTGTGTGAGGTCAGGACATTATGCTTCTGGATCCAACCCTATGGTTAACTGAGCAACTAAGGGCACCAGGCTCCTAGTAGGTCAGAGTATGTATGTGTGAGTCTGGGGCGGAGGGTAAAGGGAGATAAGGAGACAGATCTGTTGTCATACAGATTATGCTGAACTTCAGAATCATACGGATTCTGTTACTCGACAGTCCAGGGGTGCGACTACACAGCAGCGTTATTTCAGAACAACTGACATTATTTCAGAATAACAAAATACGCATCTACACAGCAAGCCATGATTTCGAAATAATGTCAAGAGGGAGGACTTCTGACTCTGACTCTTATAATCCTCATTTCGTGAGCTCTCAGTGCACTAATACCCGCTTCACACCAGGCGTCAGGCATCTGCAGTGCTTGTATATACCATAATCCACAGCATGTGCCACAGCTACTGGCGCCATAAGTACTGGTAGGAAGGAGAGAGGGGACATACTGTGGTGAGTGATAGGGATACATAGGTCAGAGAAGACAGGCCCATGTGAAGTGACTCTGTTGAAATACAATCTTCTAGCAACAGGCAGCAGTCTGGAGAGGGTTCCTAATCACATCAGACCAGCCCAAGCTTGAGAAGGATTCAGGGCTGCAAGATAATCCCCTACGGTCAGAGCCAGCCCGTCCATAGGATGGTCTGGGACGGCCAACCCAGGCCTCCTGCTTTTGGGTTCATGGTGGCCTAAGGGTGTTAAAATTAGGTTATTTTAGTAATCAAGTAGTCAATAGGGGAAGGCAGCCTGGCTCAGTCTCAGCTCACGCTGGGACCAAACCTGCCTTCTGCCTAGGAGCCAGGCAACCTGCCTTTTAAATTGCAGAGCTGCCAGTGGGGTTTGGCCCCTGACCTGGCATGATCAGGGACTGAGCTGAGCTACCTGCCTGCCTTGGCTCCAAGACAGAAGCAGTTCTGTCTGTGGAGGATCCTCCCCTGCTCCCCCAATCCACTGCTGCCTCTGAAAGCGGCAGCAACACGGGGGCAGTGGAGCAGGCGGCACTGTGGAGCAGGTGACACCAGCTTTTAAGACATCTCCCCCCAGCAATGACTCCTGCTTCCTCCCCCTTGCTGCCTCTGATACAGAAGCAGCAGGGGAGAGGGGGTGGCAATGAAAGTAGTCTTATCGGGTAGTCTACTAATCGACTACTCTCTTACATCCCTATGGTGGCCACCTCAACCATCCTATGGATGGGACCCAGGGGACTACCTGGAGGCCCAGAATAGAGTGGTAGCAAGGGTTACCTCCCCCCCCCCCACACACACATCTCAGCGGTGGGAGTTGGACTACTCTGCTCCACCCTGCCATCTTCTCCCAGCCTCCTGCTGCATTCCTTCTCCACAGCCACGGAGAAGCTGCGCCCAGAGAGCTGGGAGCGGGTGGCGGGGCAGAATGGAGCAGGCTGCTGGGTCACTCTGGCTCCTGCCACCACAGTGAGTGCAGAGGTGGGGGCGATCTGTGCTGCCACCCCACATCAGACCCTCCAGTAATCCTGCAGCTCACACTGCTCAGGGGAGGGGGTTTGGTCAAGGGGGCGGTGCAGACGTTAGGCAGAGCAGGGGCAGGGCTTGGTGGAAGGGGCGGGGCTTGCAGGGGGGGGGTTGCCCTGGGCCCCACACCTCCCTAGCGACGGCCCTGCCTATGGCTTATGTCTTACATCCCCATTCACATGTCCTGCTTTAGCCCTCTTTCCAGCTCCCACATTGCTTCAACTCCCTCAACCCCTTTCTGCCTTCTGCCAAAGGTTGCCAATCCTCCAGAATTGGCCTAGGGTCTCTCAGAATCACATCAACCTCCTGGTGACCATTGAAAGCAATCTGGAAGGTTTAAATAGGACATTTTAAGAAAATGACATTACAGTAGACTTCCGATAATCCGGAACCTATGGGACCTAGGTGGTGCTGGATTATCAAATATGCCGGACTATGAGGAGGTACTATAAGCTGGTTATATATATACTGTATACATTATATACTGTATATAAAGTGTTCTTAACCCTTTTTATTGTACATACTGTATACAGTATACTGTAATGTTTTAGTTTTTTTAAGCCTTTTTTACCCTTTTTGCTCAGTTCAGCTGCTGCCGCTGTTACCTTGTGACTTATTTTTTGCCGAAGCTCACTCACTACTGTACATCATACTGGGAGAAAAAAAAATCTCGCAGAATGGCTTCAGTCAGAGTTGGTATCCCTACTTCTGCCCCGTTATGCTCTCTTCCCACACTATAGCTCGCAGCAAGATGGAATCTCCTATACAATTTAGCTCAAGAATGAAGGGGTTAGATACAGCTCTAGAGCCAGCCAGTTCTCATCCCCACATAGACAAAGCATTTTTTAAAAAGACACAATAGCCTCAACGAGACAGACCCACTTACTGTTGGTCGATTTTGTCTTCCTTGGCTCCAAAGATTATTCAACTGCAGCAAGTCCAAGTCACTGCTTCTTCAGAAAAATCAGTATAAAGCAAAGCAGCAATTAAAAGAAGGAACAAATCAACACAGACTTCTCCAGTTCCTTCTTTCAGTTTCACTTCTAGTCTTAAGACCTGTCTAGAGATTTCATGAACATATAAAGAAGGGAGGGGGGCAGAAAGTGTTATGAGAAAAAGAAAGGAACATAGGGAGCAGTAGGCCTGGGCAGGCCAGGTGAAGAGGGCTGAGGTAACAATAGGCTGAGTTAGCAGGAGGACATTCCAGAGCTAGATGGAGAGTGGGAAATGGAGACCCAGAGCAGCAGAAACATTCCCACACTTCCTCCACACAGGATATGGTCAGGGGAAAGGAGTGCTCTAGGATTTTAACATTTGGTGGTTCTCAGATCGCCAGCTGGCTACATAGAATTTGCTCATAGGGTTGCCAGGTGTCTGGTTTTGAACAGGACAGTCCAGTATTTGAGCTTTCTGTTCGGGAAACAAATTGAGAAAATATAAATGAGAAAATATAAATGTCCGGTATTTTCTAAATAAGATGGAATGTAGCTTGTGATGTAATGTCAAGTGTGTCCTGTATTTTTGTTGAAACCATCTGGCAACCCTATTTGCTCATCCTTCTGTCCCATCCTTCTAAATGTTAACCTCTTCACTGCCCTCCTGTGAGGAGTCATTTTCATCTCTGTATATCTGCCACCCACTCATAGTCTGACAGTTTTACACAGCTGACGAATGTAGGAGGAGATGCCTCTGAGGAGAAGCCCCTGGATCCAGGCTATCTTACAAACTGCATTGTTTCATACAAGGCCTCATCCAAACTGCCACAGAATTACACATCTGCTGAGCTATTTTAACTCAATTCAGGGTAAGCCAGTTTATAAACAGTTTTGTCTAGCTATTGAAGACCACAGACAACTAGATTGCAAATACAATTTAAAAGACCTTTTTAGACAAGACCACTAGCTAGTCATATTTAAACACACTTATAATGGGTTTAGTCCAATCAACATGCTTAAGCAAACTGAGCCAAAGTCATCTGTGACATCATTCCATTTTTACTCAAGCATACTGGGACAATTCTGCTCTCACGCTAGATGTAAATCAGGAATATCTTTGAGGAATGCTAGCATTAGAGCTGGTCACATTAACAGGAAATCATGACAATTATTGTAATTTTGTGGGTGTTTCTACTTTGCATGGCTCTAAAAAACCAAAGGGGCTCATTTTAAGCCAAAAATGTTAGAAATGGTATTTTGTTAGTTTTATGTACTGAAAACTATCAATGATTTAAATTAAAAATGCCACCAAAAATGAAAAAAAAAAAACGGTTCTTGAAAACAAAAAATGATCTCCAAACATGACTTTTTAAATAGAAACCCTTTAGATTGCAAAATTTCAACTGGCACTAATTCATACTAAGCATGAACAGAATCAGGACCCTAGGCCTTAAACCAATTAATGTGGCCAGGCCCTCTGAAAATTCCAAATGTATTCAACAGCAAGTGCCAGACCGGTCTCTTCCCTCACTGACTCCACTCAGCCAAAGCTAATAATGGCTTTCCACGGGTGGAACTTATGTGGTATGAAGAGGTGGCCAGCCTACCTTTAGTTCTATTAGGGATCTTGAAACAACTATTAATCTAGACTGAATCTTCTTTACAACTCTAGTTGAGGGAGCATATATGGAGGGCATGGTTGACATGACAGAATGTTTTTTAGTGTGGATACAGCCTAAGGGCATGTCTTCACTATGGGCTGGATTAACGGGCAGAGATTGATCCAGGGAAGGTCAATTTATCACAGCAAGTATAGAAACGATCAATCAATCACCAAGTACTCTCTCCTTGACACCGGTACTCCACCAAAATGAGCAAAGTAAGTGGAGTCGATGGGAAAGCGTCAGCTGTTGACTTACCATGATGAAGATACAGTGGCAATCAGACCTAAGTAGAGGCCACTGGATCTGGCCCACGGACTGCAGGGAGCCACAGGCAGGCTCCCCACTTGCCTCGCCCCACCCGCATGCCACTTAGAAAAGTGGCTGTGGGGTAGTTTCTCTTTAAAAACTGAGCCCCAAGGGGAGGGGAGAAGATTTAGGAGCTGCTCATGCCCCCAGCACAATCCCATTGGCTGGCTTCTGGCCAGAAACTATCCAATGGGAGCTGCAGGCAGCCATGAAGCACAAGGCGCTCAAAGTTATTCATGGAGTATATGGCTGCAGCCTGTGAGGGAACAGGGCAGACAGGGAGGCTGATTCAGGAACAGGCTGCTGCCTGGTAAGTCTCCTGGCCAGATCCTGCCTCTGGCACCTCAGCTCCTCTCTTCCTCAACCCTCTGCCCCCGAGTCCTGTCCCCCTACTCCATACTCCACATACACAAATCCTCTGCCCCCCCCCTGCACTCATACCCCCTCCCAGATCTGGTGTCCAAATTCCCTGCCCCAGATCACAGTCCTTTCGTGCCCTAGCTCACAACCCAAACCCCTGCACCCACTCCTGAACCCCAATTCCCTGCCTTAGGTCACAATCCAACCCCCTGCACCTCAGTCCAGTGCCCCAGCTCACAACTACCTCCTTCACCCAAACTCCCGCCCTTACCCCAAGCTCCTTTCTGCACCCAACCTCCATCCCAGACCCTGCACTTCCTCCATTAATATCATGGAAGAGTGCAGCCTTCAACCACTTCCCAAATTCTTGGGGTGGCCCCCCATCAAAAATTATTGCCCACCCCTGCCGAAGTACATCAACTTCGGCTGTTATTCATGTAGCTGAAGTTGCGTAAATTAGGTCAATGGCCTGCAGTAGTGTCGACAAGAAATGTCCTATGCATAGGATGATTCAGGGAGGGTGCTCCAGGCTCCATGCTTTGGGGGGCAGGACCCAGCGGATCATGTAAGAAGCAATGGGCTTAAACTGCAGCAAGGGAGGTTTAGGTTGGACATTAGGAAAAACTTCCTACCTGCCAGGGTGGTTAAACACTGGAATAAATTGCCTAGGGAGGTTGTGGAATCTCCATCACTGGAGATATTTAAGAGAAAGTTGGATAGACATCTATCAGGGATGGTCTAGATGGTGCTTAGTCCTGCCATAAAGGCAGGGGACTGGACTTGATGATCTCTCGAGGTCCCTTCCAGTTCTAGTGTTCTATGGTTCTATGTGGTAGCCTGCCATGGGGTGGCAGCAGTGTTACATGGGGAAGGTGCAATGGGATGGAAGAGGGGCATGGTGGGAGCAGAGCAGGGCGGGGACTTGGGGTAAGGATGGAGTGGGATGGAGTGGAGCAGAGGTTAGGTGAGGGCAGAGTCTGCAGCAGGGGAGGAGAAGGGTGTCCCAGGCCCTGCACTTGGGGGGTTGCCCCAGACCCCACACTCCCCTAGGGATGGCCCTGAATGTAGACAGGGCCTAAGATGGTCTCTCCTCTGGAACAAGTTTCAAGGGACAAGAGAGTATAACCACCTTCCCTGAACATGAAACATACAGTGCCCCACAGCAACTATTAGTTCCCTAAGAACAATACAAGGATCAGAGGATAGAGTGTCTGAGGAGGGAGGGAAGGGAAGAGAAATGCATGGAGACTACAAAAGAAAGTTCAGTAGGGACAAGAGCTCTGTCTATAAATACTTTCAAGGGAACGATATAGATGAAGGAAGGGAATTACTCCAATTATCTGAAAGTAGCAAAGCAGAGAGCAACGGCCTAGAGCTAGAACCGTAAAACCAAATTCAGGTTAGGCATTAAGAAAAATGTCTTTACAGAGAAATAGGGCACTAGAGACAGACTCCAAGAGAAGAGGGTTGAGATATCATCAGTGCAGATAGCTAAGAAATTAGACAAGACGCATGCATGGAGAAATAGTCCACAGAGCATTGGCTGGTGGTTCTCAGATAGCCAGCTAGTCACACAGCATTTGCTTATCCTTATATCCCATCTGCTAAATTTCATTTAAGCTAAAAATGCATACAATATACTTCCCCACTATGACTGAAAACAGTTGCCTTGAGGGTTGTATGCACTAGCAAGAGGAGGTGATCTGTGAGATCATGAAGTGGGGGACTATTTAAATGTGGTCCATACTTAAAAAGTTTGAGAATACTGCACTAGTGCAGTGATCCCCAACCTTTTGGGGCTGCCGGGCGCCCGGGGGCGGGGCTGCTCAAGCGCCGGACACCCGGGGGTGGGGCCACAAATGTGCCTGGGGGAGGGGCCACCCATATGCCACGCGCCCAGTGCTGGCGCCACTCATGCCCTGCACTCCTGGGGCCGGCGCCGCTCCTGTGTCACATGCCCAGGGGTGGGGACTGCCCAGAGCCCACACGCTTGGGGCCGAGCCACTCCTGTGCCGCGTGCCCACGGGGGGGGC